GGGGGGGGCGGCGGGGGTGGGAGTGGGCGTGCATCGGTCAGGGGGCGCCCATGCAGGGAGGGGGCTGTCATAGGCTCAGCCAATGGGCTGCTGTGTTCCCGTGAAGCCGTCTCTTTTGTCTGGTATTGAGTCACTCTCATTACCAATGGACCAGACCAGGGGACAATTAACCAGCTGGTGGTGCAAGCAGGCCGAATTACACACACACACACACACACACACACACACTTGACACTCTATCACACAGTCAGAGTTCAAAAGAGGCACAAACGCTTCCTCACAAAGTGAAGAATACAGTAAAACATTTTCGTTGAAGAAACATAATTATAACAATGTTATAAAGACACAGAACAAAAACATAAAGCAGAACACATAAATAAATGTTTAAAGGAGTATAAGGGTAAAGGTAGTTGTTATTTAGGAGCAGATATTATCTTCAAACACACGGGGTGGTCACTCAGTGTGGTAGCACCCACTTGCATTTTGAATGGTTTAGGGCCAACTAAATTTAGCCCACTGTTTCTGTTGCTTTCCTCTTTTCCAACGTCACAGCAGGTAAAAATAACAGACGTGACACGGGCACTATGAATAAGAGCGCAAGTGTTGTTTGCAAATACGATTGCACAATCCTCATCCCAGCCAGCCCTGCCCTGCCCTGCCCTGCTGTTAATACCACGTCCACTTCCCCTCGGCGCGGCCAAGCCTCCCGCTTCCCACACCGATGACCAGACAAGGAGCATTCTCCGCAGCTCATTTGCCACAACATGCCTTTCCACTTAGTTGCCAGGGCAGAACTATCATTAATAACCTATCAGAATAAATGCCTATCTTTATAAGAACAGAACATCAGGCTGGCAGGTCTGTAGCTGGGTCTATTTATAAAGCCAAATGTTCCATGTCGACTTGGAGAACACGCCAGTGTCATTGAATAATCTGCAGCTCTTCCTTGTGCCGGTATGTCTTGTGTCCCCCTCAAATCTGATATCGGGGGAGAAGATAGTGTCCTCTGACACCCCTGGGTAATTGGGCTTACACAAACACACACACACACACACACACACACACAGCGTGAGTGGAAAGTAAACAGGAAAAAAGCATGGGCGGCTTATCTGGAGTAAAGGAATGGAATCTTAATCTGGTTATTTACAAGATGCCTGATTAGTGTCAGTTTATGTGAACTTTCCTTTATACAAAAGGGCAGAATTGTACAATTTCAAACTAATCCTACACTCATATCACTTAATATCACATTACTCTCATAGTTGCATACCTTTTTTTTTTAATCCATCTTATGGAATAAAGGGGTGAAACAGAAGACAGGGGCAGGGAGATGCTAAAAAACTGGTTATCAGATGAAGACACACAGAGCATGACACTGCTCACATAAAGCACCAACAGTGTGAAGTGTCTGAAGCTGTATATGGTTATGAATGAAGGCCTCGGTGAGTCAGTGGCACACCGATGACAACGTTTCTGCAGAATTTCATGTGCATGTTTCCTAACAGGTGTCCCTGGCTACTCAGAGCTGTGGCTCCTGTGTGCCGCTTTCATATTCAAAATAGCAGTCATGAGTAGGTCATGGTAACATGAATCCCATTCTTTCCAGCACCTTATTTGTGTTGATATGTTCTCATGAAAACAAACAGCTCCCCCAGTGTGAGGGGCCTGTTATAGCCACGCGCGCCCCTCGTCTCATCTCCGCTAAATGCTTAAAGGTAAAGGTTAAGTGTATAACAGAGGTTAAATATGAAAGCACAATGAGCTGGCAGGCTTACGGAGTTGCCTCCTTTAGAATATGTCAGGTGGTAGGGGGAGGCTCTGTGTAACTCAGCGCTGAGACAGTGTGGCAGCGGCCCCCTCGTCAGCATGTGCTCGACAGATGGAGTCACTCTGTCGGTTATAGGGGGCCAAAACGCTCTTCCTGACCATAGCTATGTGTGGAATTCCAGCTCCAGCTCCGGCATCGATGAGCCTGAGTTTGACCGTAACTGTCACCGGAGGTGTTTCCAGGCTCCTGTTGAACCTAGAGCTGGTTAATATTAATCAAGAGGACCATTACTGTGATTATACACAGGTGTCACTCTTACTCGGTGGCTATTAGGTGACTATAAGAGGCTGCTAGCGGATGAGTAATGATGATTTGACGGGACAAGAAGACGAAGAGAAAAACAGCGCAGTCTTACTTACAGTGAGCCTGCTCTTTAGAGGTATTTGGTTGACAACTGGATAATTAGTGGCGTGAAACCACAAGAAGTTATAAAGACGAGGTTCAAAGATATAAGATGGAAGAAGTTTCCCATCATTATAATACTACTTCATCAGTAGAAGTGGTTCACCTCAGCACTTCAGAGGTTATTAATAAGAACAAGGGCTAAATGAACCAGAGCCACATTTCACTCCTGAGCACTGTCGTTTTTGCGGGACTTCCAGCCATATCTCCCCTCTCGTAACACAGAGAGAGAGTGACTACTGATATGTCAATCAAACCCCAATGAGCCAGTGTGTCTGGCCGAGCCTTAAGGTCAAATACTGCACATACCAGGTGCAGCTTTAGAAGTGACTTTGACATTAAACAGGAGCCAGTCATCAAGCCCAGCTCATCTGGCAAACATCCAGGCTGCCATGAGACAAGAGTCGGCCGCCTCCACGGCTAAACCTCCTCCGCATATACACTAACCTGGAACGGGAGACTCTGCCCCTGCGTCTGGCTGATGCTAGGACATGACCTCATGTCGTAGTCAGCGGTGCCACCTCATATGATCCAGGGTGTGGCAGTGGTGTGGCTCTGACTGACAGAGAGCGAGGAGAAGCAACATCTGTTTGTGGGCAGCCAGTGCCGCAGTTGTCTGGTGCCATCTAAGACCTGAGGCATGGATTTGTCATGACACTGTATACCGCTTCAACATGCCTGCACCACTTTGGATATTTTGGTAAATCTGCTAGATGGCAGACGGGCAGCAATTATTATTTCAAGGGCCTGGGATAATCCTGGAGCCCAGGACTCGCGCGGACTGCAGGCTCTCCAAGTGAAGAGTGACTTCTGGATGAATCACCCTGTCAAGGCCTCCGGCTTACGATATGAATTCTAGTTGGCAGGGAGCATATGAAAGTGAACGAAACAAAGTGTTACTCTTGGGTGTTGAGTCAACGGCATTGGAAGAACATGGGATGGCAAGAGATCACAACATCCTGTTGTAAGGAAAATATGAAAGTGATAAACTCACGACAGCCCTTTAATTGGTCCCCGATCATGGACACCTGCGCTACTACTGGAGTGCAATAAACCCTGATCAATAATCAGCCTTATTAAATATTAATGATCTAAATTGCAGAGGGATAGAAGCCACAGCTAACATCAGGGGTCAGAGTGTTTTTGTTGTGCTCACTCAGCTTCACAGATACAAATAAACCGCTGAGAGATACTTTTGAAGACGGCAAAAATAGATCTCAGTCGACTGTTTTAGCTGGGGGACAGAATCCTTTTAAACTGTATGTGGTGACGATGAGGGATGGCAGCAGCTATATCAAGGCCTTTGAAAAAGGTTTGCTGCAGATATATACGTCCAGGAAAATGGTTAAAAAAAAAAAAGTTACGATTATGATGAAAAAACAGGATCGTAACAGAGGTTGGTCTCATTAAGCCACGCTGATGGGACACATAGCAGTAAATTTAGTTCAAGAGGAAATAAATTTTCTTCTTACACATGCCGTCACATAAGTTTTTTTATGTGCAGGACCGATTAAAAAGAAAATGATTCAGTGCAACATTGCAGGTGAGAGTGGGAGTAGAAACTGAGAGTAGTCCTCACAGACAGACACAGGTTGTTTAGGCATTATTTGAACACGGATGTTATCGCATGCAATGAAATACAATATACTGTCACTTTAAAGACAGCGACCACTTACCGCTTTGTCAAACTCCATCTCTGAAAAGAATTTATACCAAGGCTCATTCTCTAAATCTACATCTTCCGGACTTACATCCTGAGTCTAGGGGCATGGCAACAAGAAGAGGAGGAGAAAGACAAAGAGAAGACAGTTCAGACAGCACAGAAAATACACACCTGAGCTCATGAGCCAAATGTTTCTATCCAACACCATAAATGATCAGTGAGATCGCTGTAGGTCTTCTCACTGAAGAAGATACCTGTTGGTTTCTTTATGACAAGTAGATTAAAGGATGGGTTCACATTTTTTCCCAGTCTTTTTTAAAGGGATAGTTTGATATTTCTGGAAAAATGTGATTTCTTGCTGAAAGTTAGATAAGTCGATTGATTCCACCGTTACATCTGTGATAAATATGAAGCTGCAGTCAGCAGCTGGTTAGATTAGTTTAGCATAAAGAATGGACTTGGCTTGAGACGATCTTTTACGTAATATTGCTGCTGTTCAGTGGCGACATTTATACTTGAATACATTTATACGCTTATACCTGAAATTTAAAATACAGTAATATAATTATATATGATTAGTGTATTATAACCCCACACCCCTGTGATAATATCGTTTATCACGATGTTTGGGCTGGACTGTATGGAGATGTTAAAGTTGGGATCTCGACAAAGCCTTGACTGGAGACAAGGGGAAACAGCGAGCCCGGCTCAGTCCAAAAGTAACAAAATCTAACCACCTACAGGTACCTCTAAAGCTCCCTATTTAACATGTATCATCTCATTTTAATCATCTGTACAAAAACCCAGAGTCTTGTGCTCACTCCAGGACGTCTCCGCTCCTAAGTAGTCATCTGGCACATACCTCCTTAAACAAACAAAATTAAACATGTCAGTTATTGAGCTTTAGAGGTATTGGCAGGTGGATGCTCTTACCTGGCACGCTGTTTCTCCCTGTTTCCAGTGCCAAGCTAAGCTAAGTGGCATCAATCTTCTCATCTACCTCTGGACAAGAAAACAAACAAGCATATTCCCAAATATCAAACTATTCCATTTATACAATACTAACACACCGACATGAACATTAAGAAAGTTACAGGCCGCTGTAATTATCCCTCCTCTGCAGCTCAGCAGTAAAACACTGTCCGATGAAATACAGAGGGAATTTTATACAAAACAGATTTTAACTTTGGCAGATACACAATCTATTCAGCTGCTAAAGCCGTCAAATTAGCTTCAGCTGAACTTTTGAGAGCAAGCTGACATCTCTTCTATTCAACTGTTTGTGTATGGAGAGGAATGTGCTGCAAAATACACTTGAAAAATCTGAACCTGTCCTTTAAGCAAGTGTTTTACACACAAAGTGCAGGTTATTTAATGTGAACGATATGTTTACACATTTAATTTTATTCTATCTAATCAACAGACACAACTGATAATGACCAATAAAACATGCAAACTCATTTCTGAGCTGAAATATAACATATGCTGTAAATATTTTGGAAGGTTTACAGTAAGTAAGTGACAACACAACTTTAAGCTGGGTCAAAATAATGGCCCTAATGCAGAAAATGACCAGCTACAGCACCAAGGACACTGACCTATCATAACTGAGCCTGTAATTGAAAAACAGCAGAGTCCATTATTTTACAGTGGTCCCAGGATGAAGTAGAGCGAACTGTAATGAGTGTGTTTGTTGGCTCTGGGATCGGGCCAGATCTTGGCTAACAACATCTATTAGCTTGATGTAACTGAGTATTTGACAAACAATCATTACATAATCAACAAACTACTTAATCACAATACTGAACCTCCCCATGTCTTCTAATTATGTAAGAGGGAAATATAAGGAACTTGAGACCTAAATGTGCTCTCTTTTTGGTAAATATTACAGTGTATATCTAGGCAGCGGCTACCAGTTCTCTACTATATGTAGCAAAGCTTATCCAGACAAGACAGCCCTCAAGGACACTGAATATTGTTGCAGCATTTGATTCAACACAAAGTGTTACAGCTAGAAACGAAAGTATGAAAACACACAGGATCCAGGTTTTGTGTGTTGGCTGGGATCCTCTCACACCCAGCTGATTCAGCCCAATAACCTTAAATTGAAGACAGGAAGACAATGGCTATCCTTGTAAGTGATACTCCCCCCGCTGCCAGGCAGGATCATCTGTCGCCGCAACAGGACACCCTCTTGGAATGTGGTGCACATGGCGATTCAGGCTACACATACATCGCCTCATCGGAAGCTGCCACCCGGGAGCTGAGATACAGAGGTGGCGGGTGGGTGGGGGGTGGGGTGGGGGGTGGGGGGGGTTTAGATGGTGTGTGGAGTGGGGGACAGCTCACACGACATGCACACAGAAAGAGAGAGAGAGGCAAACAGGCAGGCGGCTAGCATACCGTTCTCTCCAGCTTCAGCACCGACGATTTCCCCGGCTCGTATTCAAAGATGCTCTTGGGCTCGGCGCGGTACTTCCTGGTGTCTACCTTTTTATCCGGGGGCTCCCACTCGTTCCTGTGGAGAGGCGGGTGTCAGGGAGGGGTGGTGATGTGGGATGGGAGAGAGCCAATCCTTATCAAGTAGTCTCCATGGCAACCGGCATAGGCTAAGATGTTTTTTTTTTTTTATTTAAACATGACGTCTGTCCTCATTATCCCTGCCCTCTCTCTCTCTCTGTCTCTCTGTCTCTCTGTCTGTCCCTCTCTTCCTCTAATGATGGTATAACTGAAAATCCAATTCACGGTTAAGCCTAATCAGTAATTCGATCAGGTAAACTAGATTGGACCCAGTGACAAAAAACAGAGCGCCTCATTTCCCCAGAGAATTTCTTAATATACAGGCAACGCTAAAATTACTGTTCAGTAAAGCACTGAAGTATGACTCTTAAATAAAAAAACATTCGATTGATCTTAAACTTGCTTTCACCACATCAGAAAATAACAACACCTTTTTATGAATGAAATTCTTAAGGAGATCCAGCAGCAGCGTTTACACCCCTAAATACATAACCGCTGAGGAAGGAGGAAGGTCAGACATCCACATGTCATCTGCAGCTCTGGTGGGAAACAGTTTATCCTCTATCACCTGTCCTCCTTCATCACTCTATCACTCATTTCTCTAAGAGCAGATCATCCTGTGTCAGTGCTGACATGTGTGTGTGTGTGTGTGTGTGTGTGTGTGTGTGTGTGTGTGTGTGTGTGTGTGTGGAGGGATGACTACTAATCCCACTTCATGTAGAGGACATAGCAGTGGAGGCCACAACTGATAAAAATAAAAATAAAAATAAAAATAAAAATAAAAATAAAAATAAAAATAAAAATAAAAATAAAAATAAAAATAAAAATAAAGTAAATTAAAATAAAATAAATATAAAAATAAAAAGAGCTCAGACAGAAAGGACAAATGTCTTCCTTGCTCTGCTGAGCTCGGCCATGTTTAGTTACACTTAGCACTGCTGTGTATAAACAAAGAAGAATACAAACTGTTAATCACAAGACATTTTTTTTTTCTGGAAGTAACGTTAAAGTCGCACTGAGAGAACATACACATTTTATACACGTTTTATATCTATGGGAACGCTGCCTGTTAAAGAAGCAGACACAAATAGGATTGTTCTGGTCACATGGTTATATAATCTTCATAACCTGTTCTTTAAAGTATTCTGGGTTGTAAACACCTCCTCTTCATAGTTCTGTGCCTTTGTATTAAACATCACAGTGAATGTCATAATAAAGAGGGTTGGAGCAGATGGAGGTCACTGACCTTTTGGCAGAGGGTTTGAGGGAAGAGGAGCGTGCTGGCACCGGCATCGAGCGGCCTCTTGAATCGACCTCGGCGTCACTTTTTGAGCGTGGGACAGCTCTCACTGAAAATGTGCACATACAGTAAATATTGACAATGTTGAAGTGTGAGAAAGAGAGAGCGCTGAACGTCGTCTTGGAAATACTAATGATGGATGGCCCACATTTTAAATTTGTTTCTTATGCTTATAATGCTCAACTCCAGAACTCACCGTCTTCCAAGTAACCAAAGGGGGTGGGACCATCATCTGAAAGAGGCGGACATCAATCAAAAGTTATTTATTATCATTTGTAACTATGTCTACCTCTGCTACTTGAAAAGTAATGAACATGGCACGATGCTAAATTATTCAAAGGGCTTTAAAAACACGTTTTCCTGTGTTTGTCCTCCCGCCTCACACCTTCCATTAGGCCAGGCATCAAATTAAATCAAAGTGTGTCAAATCAAAGCGTTTTACAGGAAGCATTACTGGGCTAAAACAGGATCTGAGCATCGACGAGCATCAAGGCTCTGAATAAGTAATGCACTGTAAAGCAAGAACGCCACAGCCACAACGGTCAGAGTGATCTCTGTATGAGTTGCATTTTATCTGTGAGATCATATTTACAGTCAAATCAGTCACAACTACGCATGGAAGTCGTGTCGAGCTGAGACTGGGAAAGAAGAGGTCTGGGAGCTCTTTCCCTCATTCTGCGAACTTCCTCCTCTGAAAATAGCAGATCCAAAACCCAAACCGTAAACCATCCCCCGAACCATAACCAGCCATCCAGAACTTAAACCCAAACACTAATTGGTGAAGCTTATAATGAACAACAATCACTCTGAAGGTTGTGCACAGCCTGCACTCAGCACAGCACAGGACAGTCCACAACCTCAATGCAGGACTGCAGCAGCACCTGGTGGTGACAACCCTACACTACATCTAAGGTACACTAAGCTACAGCCTGATCATGCTCATGAATTAGCATCTACAAATAAGACAGACATTTCTAATATTAGATGGTTGACAGAAATAGAAAGGCCAAGTTGTTAAGTTACAAGCCAAGTTGTGACAGTATAGTAAATAGTATAGTTAAGTAGAATGACACTACAAGGCTTCGTGCATCCTCCTTGTCAACACACTGACATCAAAGAAAATGCGTCCAATCTGTGGCAACAATAATAAGAAGGTTCAGTATATTCTCATATAAATATACTAAGAGTTGAGTTTTTCCCATGTCTGCATACTGGGATGTACTGGCTGTTTAGTGTTGCATAATCATTGCATTAAAAGTCTGTCAGTCCATTTAAGAGTGACTGTGGTATATAATTGTATGTTTTCATGTTTTGGTAGAGGGGGGCTACACTTTTGTTTAAGTCTGGATCACAGATTGGGATCAAGTGTTCTTGTGCCACTCAGACCATGACATCTGAACAATATCAGGATCAGCACGAAACTTGCAATGTACTTAAAACAAATGGAAATAGTTGCTCTACTGCGCGGAGTGGAAGGAAAAGGTCCCATATTTTATAAAGTGAGATCTCCATGTTTTTTTTTGGTTATACAGCAGACCACCTTAGAACTGTGAAAGTATCAAAGCCTCAGTCCACAGAGAAATGCACACAGCCTGTATTCAGAAACTGAGCCTTAAAACCAGCCGTCAGGACTTCTGTAATGATGTCACACCAAAGCAGTCAATGCAGAGGCAGAGCCTCCTCTCTTCTGATTGGCTCACCGACCTGTTGTTACTAGAGCTCCAGAGAGAAGCCTGAGAGAGGAGATGTAAAACTACACTGAGATGGTTTTTGGTTCTTAAAACCACAAATATATCTTCTTATGGATCAACACTTCAAATAAAACACAGGAGAAGTATAAAATATGGGACCTTTAAATCCTTTCAAATACTTTGGACATCTTCAAGGTTATGTGGTTTGGTACTTTACACGAGATCAGTATGACAGATTGAACACAGCTAAAGTATTTGAAAGGGCCCAGGATGGCTGCAGATTAGTAGAGCTAACAGTAGTTACTGCCATCGGATACCTTTTGATTTCATGTGAATGTCAAAGTTCTCAGGGAAAATGTAGGTGGGGCGGTAAGGGTTTTCCTCAATAGGCTCTGAGCACAGTGATGGAGAGACAGAGCACAGCGTGACATAACATACAAACACATATAAGAACATACACAAGCCTTGGACACCAACAGAGAAACGTGACAGGGAAACATGATCAAACGTACAGGAGTGGAAATGATGATAAACTCTTACCAGGTATTCTGTGTATCTGTTTGAACATTGTCTTATACCAGTCTTTGGACTTTTCAGTGTTCTGAAATTTAGATGTGGACATTTTTCATTAACAACAAGTCAGACTGTCAGACAAATAGTTCTTCTTCAAGCAGGAGTAGAGCAGGTGATGTTCAAGTGTATGGTTTTGGCAAGACATTTTGTCTTGTCAAACACAGGTCTAACTAATGACTTTAATGTTGGCTGCGTTCCATTAAGATGTGTCAGTTCCAGGGCTCGAGTATTGTCTATGCTTGCACCTTAATGGAACAGAACCATCATTAATGTTAATTAAATTGGTTACACCTGTGGTTTTCCTGTTAGGATACATCAAAAAATATCTCCTACAAGACATGAGACATGTTTTTCTAATATAATTATAAAAATAATTCTCAAATCAGCATGAAACAACAACATAATATTGCAAGAATGCATAGGAATGTTTGACTGTAAGAAACCTTTTACTCCAATGTCAAAGACCTATGTGTTGTATGAACAAAACAGCCTTTAAACTTCTGCGGTCAGTTGATAAGGTCTTCATCTGACATTAGGTTTTGTCGCTCACCCGTACAGGCACAATGGGCTTGTTGAGAGGACTGAGGACAGGGGAGTGCAGTGAGAGTCGCAGCCTCTTCCCGTCCATATCAGGGACTGGACTCACTGAGTCTCTGCCAGGATCAGGGCTTTTGTCCCTTTCTGGGAATGGGTCTGTAAATTGAAAAAAAAAAAAAAAACCCTGTAAGCCAGACAAAACATTCACAGCACATTTTTTTTAGCAAAATGACATATGACACATAGGCCAGGTTCAGTTAGGGATCTGGTGTGAAGGCCAGACTTCAGAAGATTAGCAGGTGACATGGACAGCACTAAATAAATGTGGGCAATAACAAACACAGATCTTTACATGCTCCACCCCAATTAGTTGCACCTGTGTCTCGTTACCTGCTCCCCCTGTGTATAAGTCTGTGTTGCCCTCTTTCTTTGACAGTTCGTCTGCTCAGTTCCCTTCGATGGTTCCTCGTGTTCTTGTTCCTGAGTGTCTTCTTTCATTTGGGATTTTCATTGGAGTTTTGCTTTCCTTCAGTTTTTGCATCATCTGCCTGTAAGCCATTTTTGTTTATTAAATGACCCTCTTTGCACAGCACAGCTTAGTGGAATACACCAACCACTGAGGCCGCAAGTGATATTATAATGTAAAGCTAAATGCTAATACCTGCTGTAAGAGTGGTACAAGTGGAGAAGAGTCCGTCTGTAATAGTGCAACATCTATTTAAAGTTTGCTAACATTAGCTAATGTTAGCTAACATTAGCCATTAAGGCTGTAGCTGCTCCTGAGTGTACTGAATTAAGTAAGGGTGTGTTTAATAGCTGATGAATTGAACTGCTCATTACAAACGTAAGAGGGAGACTTGTTGTACATTACGTTCAGCAGACTTTCTTTAATGGAACTGACCCATCCTTAATATAATTGGCTCGACCTGTGCTTCTTCCTGTTATGAAAATTCAAAATGTCTGCTGTGACAAAAGGACTGTTGTAATAGTGTTTGTGCAAAAGTGGCACGATATCAACAAATGACAAGCAAACCAAGTGTGTGTGTGTGTGTGTGCGTGCGTGTTTTTGTGTGTGGGTGGCAGATCATTATAACAAACCCACATGGAGAATCTAAGGACATTTTGTACATAATATATATATATAATTCAATTGCTCCTTTTCTGTCACAGATTTCGTTTTGTACCACAAAATAAAAAAAATAGCTAGTGAAACACTTACAATACAATAACTACAATATTATTGCTTTATTTAATATATACCTGGCAAGTGAGACCAACAGGTGATTTGTGAAGCTAGCAGGAGAATAAGCATCTACAGCGCAAACAACAACAAAAAAAACCCCTAAAACAACAGTGCTATCAGGGAGTACTTTATAATTAGCCCAAATGATACAACTGCAAACACTGCAGGGCCACAGTAAGCAAAGGAAGGGATGTGAAACACCTATCAGCATCTGTAATGTAATCTTATACATTTCTAACATCCTGTTGTGATCGTTCTGCCCCCCCCCCCCCCCCCCCCCCCCCCCCCCCCCCCCCCCCCCCACTTAAGCGGAGGCTCATACACAGCTGCAACCAACATCCTCCAACCGCTGTACCCACACAACCACTCCACTGCAAAACAAATTACGTAAACTGTCAGTGAAATGATTTGCCAGGACGTCCCTCTGGCAAATCCTCTTCCCTGTTCAGCCGTGGAAAACACAGGTTTCCCTCAGCTCACCGCACTAACGGCCCCCGCACCACTCTACAGTCCGCACAGTGATGTTAAAGCAAAAGTGAGGAAATCCTTGTTAAACATGGAGGACGAGGTGGTTCACTGCAACCACGGACATTTGCACGTTCAAGTTTTCCACTAATGCTTAAATGTCACTCAAAGGCCGTTGGGTGGGATGTAAGATGACTGGGGCAGTGACAGTCACACTGCAGTGAATGTACTAGATCAACTCCAGAACCTCACTGCAGCACGGAAAAATGAAGTCAATAGTCAGTTTTCTGTGCAGTGTTTTTGTAACAGACAACAGTGTAATCCTAATGTTAATCTAAACTGACATATCCCTGGCTTCTCATGAGTATTTAAGATAATACAATCAAGCAGGGAGAGCGAGTTAGAGACAATGACAGAGCGCAGACGGGCCAAGATGAAGGTGCAGGGAGAGGGAGAGGGGGAGACCAAATCAGCCAAATGTGACACTCTACTTCCAGGAGAAATGGTTAAAAGATTACACTTGTCTCCGTCACAGCCCCCTCCTCAAAGGGTGTGCTCTGTTTCTATTGTGCTAAATACTCTGCAACACAAAAGTCAGCTTGTATCAAAAGCAGATTCAGTGTTTGTCAAGACCGGCTTTCAGGATTAAGGAGCCAAAGCCTGTTGATGTGCAACTTTCATGTGAGCTTGAAAGCCAGGAGAAATCTTAATGATGAACAGACCGTGCCCACATGCATCATCAATCAATATGGGTCTACAGACTCTGGTTAATACTTGCCCCAAGATCATGTTCACCAAAACTGTCCTCTGGGTTTTGAGGTCCATGTTGTAGGTATTTGTGGCGCCCCCTATGGGTCGGGTTTTAAAGGCTGTGGTAGGCCTGTTCCCAAACATGACTGAAAACATCTACTACCTAGTGGACTCATGTTTGTTGGGAAGCATTTGTACATCATTTCCACTTCTTGGGCCAAGTCTCTATCTCATTCCAGCTCACAGCAATTTGAGCTCCGGCATACAACAACTAATAATAATAATAATAATAATAATAATAATGATAATAATAATAATGATAATGAACGGGTACAAACACAGATTACACAGATAATTAGAAATATGTTAGAAATCATCAAGCCCTCAGTGCATACCTTCCAAATGAGAAAGATGCTTTTGCTGCTCTGTTGTGAGAGAAAGACAAGACAAGGACAGGACAGTGAAATGTGACTAAACAGTGAAGCACACGTGTGACAGCAGAGAGCAAGACAAGGCTAATGGATCACAGACAAGACACAGTAACAGTAAGACGTAGACATACAGTACAACAGTATGTTCATGACAAACTGACAAAGTGCTCACCTCTGTTGTGCTGCAGCAGGACTATGGTGGGGTTGACTGTGCTCGTGCAGGGATACACAGAGCTGGGGTGCGATGACATACAGTTCTGAATGTCAGTGAAGGATGGAGCCCGGTTCTCTTTTATGCTTTCTGGTGAATTGGCCTGAAAGCGACAGAAAATACACAGTAAAATTCAACAAGGTTTTTCAAGAACTTCGCTGAAACTAAATACAGACTTCAAAATGAGGAGATCACAGTGTTCTTATAATTGTCAAACCACAAAGAGCAGAGAAAACAAAGATCCAGTGTTAAATGGGGCAGAAGTAAACGTACCTGGCACCGAGTGTTGTTTACAGGAGGTAAATCAGCTGTGAGGCTGCTGCCTCCCTCAGCCAGTCCTGCTTTAGAGCTGTCTCCATTAATCTGACTCGTCCAGCCGCCTAAAAAGAGTCCAGAACACTCTCAGTTTGGCAGAATACAAACACAGAGGATGATACTAAAAAACACAGTATTTTAGTGAACTTATCCCAGCAAACCAGAAACCCATAACATCTAATTGCTGATCAAATAAATCTCCATTTCTTTCTGTGGAGTGTGAATGATTTCTTTGGTGGTTTTCATGCTCAGAGTTGTTAATATCCCCTGGAAAGGAGGAAAAAAAACGATTCTCCCACAATCTCTGAACTTTGTCATCAGAACAAAGCGCCCATTCACTGAGCTGCAAAGGCCGTTTGTTCCAATGGCCTTTCTATTCAGGCTCTACAACAATTAAAGCATCTCCCCAAAAGCCTTGGCCAGCCTCCAGGCCGGTTCCAATGTGCTGTACGCAACAAACAAGCCCACAGTCAAGGCCCCCTGCTCCAAAGTGCAGTGTGGGCAGGCCGCAACAAAAGAGCTCTTTGACGCGCTCATGAAAATATGAGCAATCGCCCTTTATCACCACTCTGAGTGTGCGCGGTGACTGAGCATAGATTTCAAAACGTGGCGAGTTATATAATCCTGACATCAAAACAGAGCTGTGAAAGGCACGTGAGGAATTCTTATGATGAAGGGTTTGTTAAATGACAGCAACATTCACGACGTCTACATTCTGCAGCTGTTACTGCTCTCTAAATACTTTTTCATCATAAGGAGAGATGTTAGGAAACAGCTGTGACTTACTTGGAGCTGTGATGACGTTTGGCTCCTCACTGATGCAGCCCTCATCATCTATGTGCACGAGGGTGGCCCTCAGAGTCACGACTCCTTTCCCTTTGCACACTCTGCTGGGGTCCAGATCTGCAGATATTCAAAATAAGAGTCTCACTTCCACAGCTCTTCATTGTTCAAGGCAGAGAAGTGTCATATTCTGTGTTGTCAGTGCACTCCTGCCTCAGAGGAGCTGCTGGGAATCCAAGTTATCGCTACCTCACGCCCCAAATGACCAAAATAGAACTGTAACATCAAAAGCAGGTCACCAATTTAATATCCTGTAGTCCCATAAAACTAATTGCCATGATCACACTGTCAGTGCTGGAAGTGGAGCAGCTGGAACATGTCCTGTATATTCTTTTTTTTTTTTACATTGGTAAAGTGACACCACATTATTGACAAATGAGTTTTAAAAGCATCCTTCTAAGTTTTCTCTGTGAGTGTGAGGTGTCCCACAGTTGTAGGCGCTGAAAGATTGATGGGGATGCGTCACCTGCGGCAGGAATCAGGTCAGGGGAACCTTTCATGGTTTTCAGAGGCGTGATCCTGACAGCGCAGACTGCTCGAGGACCTGATGGGACTGTAACACACACACACACACACACACACACACACACACACACACACACACACACACACACACAGAAACAGGAAGACATTTTTTTATGTGTTTAAAATATTATACAAATATTAGTTAAAGTAAATAAAGTACAAAATGCAATAGAGATCTACATTTTTTACCTCTTGAAATTTGAATGTTTTATGCAAATCTTTAATGTGCATTATTTATGCTTAATTATCACCTATTTGTTAAAGTAAATAGTGAAGCTATTTATTATATATTTGTTTATATGATTTAACTTCAGCTTGGCCTGGAGGACATGATTACATAATCATAACGTGACATAAATGAGGTTCTGTGAAATATTTGAAGTCAGGTGGAGAGTTGACTCACTGGGAGATGCTCTCTGCCTTATACTGCCCTCTGTTGGAGAGCCCTGAGGAAGACACACAGGGAAGACAAACTAAAAACAGTGACGGAGCAGATATCTGGAGTTCAGTGTGATGTATCATTCAAAAGTAGAGTGTAATGCCTTATCTTTGTCTTAAGCTTTTCTGTTTTACTTCACCATGAACATTAATTGAGAAACAGCTGTGCAAATGGAAATCCCCAACTACATGTGATTTTGAATTGCTGCGTATTCAGTGTGACAGACCACGTAGCATTACAGTGACTCCACCTGCAGATAGAGTATATCCACGGATCTGTAAGATCTCTACCACATGTTCTTTCCAACTGCATCAAGCTCAAGAAACTTGACATCAGCTGGACTGTGATATTAGCTGTGGATCAGGGTAAGTTTGGAGACCAGACCAGTGCTTTGCTGCAGTGTTGGCTTGCAGCATGGAGTGTTTTTAATGAAAGACCGTGAGGACTGATGCAGTATCACACATAGAGAAAATTTCCCCATAGAGCTGGAGCTGGAGCTTCCACTGTGGAGTCACTGCAATGAAAGCTGTAATCTATGGCCACGTACAGCTAATGAAATTGTGGTAGAACTCCAGTTGTTGGGTTACACTCTGAAACGAGACACAACGCAGCCAGACAGGAAGGCGGTGAACTTCAAGTCATCTGTTTAAATCTAGTTTACAACACTGAAGGATTCCACATATTATTCCTAATCGATGACTGACACAATAATGGCCAAATAACAGCTTGAGCTTTAACATTAATAAAAATGTAAAAAAAAAAAAAAAAACAGAAAATCTTTCAAAATAAGAAAAAGCAATAACTTTTCCTGTTTGATACAACAAACTAATATCTCTGAAAATGTTTTCTTGGTTCCAAGTGTTACATAAAAAACTCGTCTCACCAATATTAAAAGTCACAGCAAAGGGAGGAAACAGTGGCACAGACCAGAACCCTGTTTAAGGATAATAATAAAACTCCAGAAATAATAATCCTGTGCAATACTATGACAGTGATATCTATATAATATGAGGCCAAAAACATGAAGTGATGCTACATGCAAAATGAATTAAAACACATGTTGAAGATGGTGACACTAATTAGTTAAAGCTCAGTTAATACTCAGTTAACTCTGGAGGTGGGCCTCTTACTCATTGAGGATTTCATTCTGATTGAGTCACTTTGCATGACTTCAGCTCTCTTGGTTTTGGGAGGAAGTTTGGCCTTCATCGGACCATACACATGAAGTCAAAATCTAATCCTTGTTCCCCTTTAAGGACGAGCAGGGAGGGCGTGAGAGAGAACAAACAAATGTTAATGTGAGCTGCATCAGTAGAGTGGTGCAGAGGCAACACCAAGGCCACCAGAAAAGTAGCTGTGAAACACTTCCCGTCACTCTGCTGGGCCTCCCTTTGTGCTCCGCCAGCACGTCTTATTTAGGAGACATCGCCATTTAAAACGCCAAGAAAAGCGCTGATTGAGTCAAGACACACACACAGACACACACACACACACACACACACACACACACACACACACACACACACACACACACATAAAGGCACTCAAACAGTCGCCCATGCATAAACACAAACACACATAAATAGTATTTTCATTCCATCTGGAATCTATTCTGTGATATCAATTTTAAGCTGCTTTTAAGGTTGCATCTTTACTTGCTCTGTGTGTGTGTGTGTGTGTGTGTGTGTGTGTGTGTGTGTGTGTGTGTGTGTGTGTGTGTGTGTGTGTGTGTGTGCACTGTGTTTACCCATGGCAGTAAATAAGCCAACCTGCAGAACACGCAGGGGACTGATGTTCCAGCTGGAACCCTCCACAAATAGGCCTAAATGGATGAGGGAAAATGGGAACAATTCCAAACAAGCCCCATGGGGACATGAAGCAAAAACCTTTTAAAACATCTTCCAGGCTTGGAGCTGAGCCGTCCCACAGCATCAGAACTTTGTGTATTTATTTCCCTTCTCTCTTTAGTAAAATCAGCTTGCTTCCTGACCCCCTGCATCCCGGAGAGGCGATGCATCCATGATCTCATTTCCAAAACCATTAACAGACATTCCTTTGAGGAGCGCTACACTGATCTCAACTCTCCTTCCGCCGTATCCTCGGATGAACCCCAGCACGCTGAATATACAGTAGAAAGAGAGACGTGGGAGTATTTGAACTTCTCACTTATAATAGATAATGGGAAGTTGACAGCTCGCAGTGTTCAGTTTGCTGTATAAACACAGGAGAGCAGAGATCAACCCCTGGCCTTTTTAGGAATAGATGCCTCAGTGCAGGGAGGAGAGCGGTGCAGGAGCTCTGGGACAGCCTGCAGTGCTCGGGCCAAGACAAACAGGAAAATAAGAAGAGACTTTATCAGCCAAACTCCTGTAAAAAGGCAATTTACCTAAATGCACCATCAGTCCTTATAATCTGAGAACACTTTAGATGTCCAGGCTTCACTAAAAGACTCAATTTGGCCAAACTCTATGGAAAAAACAAATGGATATGAAGTTAAAGTGGGGAGCCCAAAGTCCAGCAGATAGTGAGATAAACTGAGAGGATCAAAGGTCATGTGTGTTTAACTGAAGCTTTGAGCTTAAACTTCACATTCTCCACCAGGGTCTCTTAGTGAATGACCCACGGTGACCCACTCCCATAGGTGCTAGTGACAGTCCTCCTGAGCTCAGACATCTTCTGATCATCTGCACAAGCAGCAAATTCTCAGAACTGACAAACCCTGAAACAGTTCAGGTGGTATCTATTCACTAAAATGACTCATCCAGGTGGTAGGAAATCACAGCCAGTGAAACATCCTCTCAGCTCACACCTGTGTGACTATCTAAAAGCAGGAATACACAGCGAACACCAGATGATTTACCATATTTACAGTGGTCTCCTCCACAGCTACATGACACACACACACACACACACACACACACACACACACACACACACAGATACATAAATCTACAGCTGAATGACTAAAATACTTTTCCGAACGGCTGCGATCGTCCGCAGCATCACTGTGGATCTAGGGAGATGCATTACCTCCTCGATGATGTGAGTCCTTCGTCCACGTTCATCAGGTCCCTCTGAAGCCCCCTGAGACGTCTGGCTGAGCCATGAGGGTCTCATCTAGCAGGGGACGGTCCCAGCTTTGACCTTGACCTTGGCTATGTAGGAGGTCTGTTTGTTTTTGACAACAGCCGTGCCCAGATGGACCTGTCACCACATGCCACCTGGGAATGTGGCACCCACTCAACAACTGCGCAGGCTACCATATGAAATCCTCCTCCAGCAGGACGAGGGACAGACAGACAGACAGACCGCAGGGGGGCGGCTGGAATCCGCTACTGGATGACTCAGCCGTCCATGAGCTCTTAATACCTCGGTCGACATGATGACTGTATGTTAATGTGTGATGGAATCTATGATTCAGAAACCTTTAAAAAGTGATTAGAACTGTAAGACAGCAGGACCAGGATCAAATATCAATTACCATTTTATCAGTCCATAAAGATATTCAATTTAAAACGACGTAAAAGAGAAACAAACAGAAAATCTTGAATGTTTCCGTGAATGGTTCTCATTTTTTTTTCCTGATTAAATGAATCAAACAATTATTTGATCATGAGTTAAACTTGATTATTGGGGAAAACGTGTTTATTCCATTTCCATCAATATTACTCTCATGTCTGTGTATTAACTGTGCAGCTGGAACCAGGTGTTGAGTAGAAACCTGGAACCAGCGGGACACAGCAAGTCTGGCTTTCATGAAAGGACTGACATGAACTTGGTGTTTGTTTGTGTTCGAATTAAACAAACCAGATAGTCGGTAGCTATACTGTTAAACAGTGATTAGAGTGCTATCAGTCTTCTAACTCTTGGAAAGAAAGTGAATATGTGTATTTCCCAACCTATTCTTTAAATAATATTTTAGTGAAACATTAGTTTCAGTGCTAAAATATATGTTGTTTTGAGGAGTGATACCAATGCTTTAATATCAAAGCTAATATTTGATCTGGAAATCAAAGGTCATTCCACATAGAATCTTTTTCCCACAGATTTTCCCCTCAGATGAAGCCCAGATAAAAGCTGTGCCAATCACAGGGGAAGTGGAAAGATTGTTACTTATTTAGAAGCAATAATTTACATGAAACATTATTGAAACATTAGATTAAGATGTTCAAAGGAAGGCTGCTTTCATGCTCTGGTCAGGGAAAAACTTTCAGCTGTGGGGAAAATAAACTGAATGGTATCCAACAAATTCATCCAACTGTAGTAAATACAATGAATTTTCATGAAAATCTATTTATTTATTTTTCCTAAATGGTTTTTATAATTGTATTCTCTACTGGCAGCAACACTCACTCCATCTGAATCAGGCTCCAGATTCTGTCTGTCTGAGCACTAAACAAAGGCGGGGTGGTACCAAGTTGAACTGTGATGTATTTCACGCAGGGGGTCCATGCTATGTTAACACAAAAGAGCTCTCATCACACGCTCAGCTGTACTGTGGTGGGAGAGAAAGGGCCGTTACGTAACACTGTTTGACTTCTGCTTTGTCAACAAATGGCAGAGAGGGGAGAAGCTATCCAGCGCTGTGCGTGGATCCCACCAAACAGCTCCAAACATGGCTCGAAAGGGCCGCTCCGGAGCAGCGGCTTATCCTCCCCTAATTGAGAAGAGACCCCCACCTACCGCCCTCCACCCTCCCAACTCTCTTCCATAAACAGCTTCCACACTGGACAGCAGCCTGGGATTCTACACATTCCTCAACACAGCTATTTGAAGTTCATTTCAAACAACTGCAGCATAAAAGGAAATGTATGTAACTTACACACTGCAGTCGTTACAGGCCTCCGAGCAGGATTATTCATCCATGTTGATAATGGATGGAGCTTAAGACTAGACTATATGAACACCGCTTCTATGCCTTTGATGCTTTGAACCTCACCTAATGAAATATGACATTAACACAGAGACTTAACGGGTTTATAGTCATCTTATGGTATCAATGTGATATTTTGAGGATGTTTAGTGATCTTAGGAATAAAATGTCCTTATTTTGAGGAAAAAACAAAAGCTCCCTTCGCACCAAGCCAATGAAAGATGTGTCCCTCTGTGCTTGGAGAGGCCTGCAGCTTGTCAGCGTGTCCATGTGAAGTCCTGACAGTTACTGGACGTGACCATGGCCAGATCCCCGGGACAGGGAACACTTGGCTGGCACGTGTGAAGGTCCTGAGGAAGGCTGCAGCTGGCTGCATGGACCAAACCGCCTGTTAGAGACACTGTGTTAGAGAGCCAGGCTGCATCTAACGGGTCTGCTAGGCTTTTAGAGCCAGTGTAATAAGAATGTCTGTGAGCTGACAGTTTACCCAGGGTGATACATCTTCACAGCGAGGGCTCCAGGCTACACTCCAAGAGCTTGGATCACAGGGCCGGACTGAGGATAAACATTAAACCGAATATTCTAGTAGCTTTGCAGCGTCTCTTCAGGGGGCTCTTAGAGAGTTTACTTTTGTAGGCGCTGAGTGAAAAGTTCAAAATAAGAAAAGCTCATGAGCAAATAAGGAGATACAGTCAGTGACATAACTGAAAAAAACCCCAACCACCACAATATAATGATAAATTATTGAGATAACATAGTGGCATTTATTGTGGCAATATGACTAAAAGCCACAGATGATGTTCATTTTAATGTCATCACTAGTTAATGAGCTCAGCTGTGCACAGGAGATTCCTCCTGGCTTAGATAACAGGGCGTACTGCACATTAGGTGAGCTGCAATGACAACTCAAATCATTGTCTGAGAGAGTGCTGAAAGTGTTTCCTCGTCTCCGCTGGATATTTTGACTCCAGCGTGGATTGGAAGCTCTGACTGTGTTCCCTAATATAACTCTCTGAGCGCCTATGTGACAGGACTACTTGATAATTGAGTCATAGGATATGGCGGCTAAACGTGAATATAAACAGCGATGTGATAATCCAGCAATTTTAAGTGCTATGAAGGTATCCTCGTGTGAAATGAGCGTGCAGCAGGACTCCAGCGGGTCCCCATCATCTGTCTATTTCAGGAATGCCGGGCCCGGTCTGACTCGTCTCGTCACACCCAGACACAAACACAACAGGCAGCTCCATCAATAACAGCCTGGCTCCATAGGTGGCAGCACAGATATCAGATTATCCTTGCTGTTTATTACATTTTGTAGTGAGTGATTTATAAACCTGCGGTGCATCAGTGTCACTTACTAATACCGGTTTGGTTTGTGTGATGATGAGTAAGGACATCTGCTGGTTCTTATTAAGATATCTGCCAACAACTGCCATGATGCTGTTGTTTTCCATCAGTGGCTTACATATAAGAAGGGTGGAGGTGTGGTGGTGGTGGTGGGTATGGAGGGGAGGGGATTGGCTGCTTAAATCCATCACCAGAGCATAAATTGTCTTTTCTCTGCCTTGTTTACATGCGTCTATGATCAGGGGGCTTCTTTGTGCCACAGACCTTGAAAAGCCGAAGCACAACACTTCACTTCACCATGCACTTCAACCAATGGCAGCAGATGGAGAAAGACGACAGGGGTGGGTGGGAGGAGGGGGTTGCTAAGCAACCTGTTGTAACATTAACATGGAGTGAAAACAGAAACCTGGTGTCTGGCTGAAACATCCGGCCCGATCCAAAGCCATCCCTTATTCACAGTAAAGACAAGGCTGTTTTCGACATATACTGTCGCTTCAAAGGTTTTGTGTCCATGTGGTGCTAATATCCAGCTTCACTATGCATTTGTCATGAACCCAGACTAATGAATAAGGCTGATTTTAAGGAAAATACCACAGCAAAGAGAAGAATATCATTAGATTATTTTGCTATTGTCCAGTTTAACTTTGAATTACCTTCAAACCTAAAATGAAAAATGTCTAATCATTAGTTTAAAGGTCCCATATAGTATAAAAAGGTATTTATCCATGTGTTGTTTGATTATAAAGCAGGTCTAGGTTCTATATTAATACTGTGAAAGTATCAAAGCCTCAGTCCACAGAGAAATGCACACAGCCTGTATTCAGAAACTGAGCCTTAAAACCAGCTGTCAGGACTTCTGTAACTTTGTGATGTCACAACAAAGAAGTCACACCTTTCAGCCATGCCTCAAGACCCACCAACCTGGACCCGCCATTCAATCTTGCAGGATTTGGTTTCTCTGAGTGTTTTCCTGAAATCTGCTATATCTTTATTCAATGACAAAAACAGTCAGCCAATCAGAAGAGAGGATCAGAGCCTCCTCTCATCTGATTGGCTCACTGACCTGTTGTTACTAGAGCTCTAGAGATAAATCGAATAGAGGAGATGTAAAACTAGATTTAGATGGTTTTTGGTTCTAAAAATCACAAATATATCTTCTTATGAATCAACACTTCAAATAAAACACCGGAAAAATGGAAAATATGGAGTTTTAATCTCATTCTACACACATGGGCACAGCTGGCCTTCACGTCATGTGTCAAAGTAACAGGTGAAAGATGCACTTATTTAGCAAAACAAGTGAATTCTAATAACCTGTGGGTCAATTTCACTTGCCTCACCATATTGTAACTAGCTCATAATTTATAATACTTTGTGTCAGATTTCCAAACCAGACTGAGATCATCTTGGAAAAACAGGACTGGGTGATCTGGACGCCAGCTGGCTTTGACAAATCTTTGAAATTCAGTTTGGAGATTTATGTCTCTGAGGGTCGCTCCTATCAAATCTAAGGGATCTGTGTAACGTGATTCTGAACAAGCTTCATAAAACATTAACAACTATGCTGGGTTCATACCAACATGTCCCATCCTCACTCTACGGGTTTCTGTTGTCATGTCAAGCTTAAAAGACTGAAATACAACACTTTGACCTTGATTTATTCTGTCTTTGAAAAAGCAAGAACTAGCTGTTTCTGGCTTATAAAAGCAAGCGCCAAATTTCACATTTGGTTTTAATATTTTTTTTGTAAAGCAGCACACTGCACCCTGAAATCCTGCCGAGACATATTAAAACACCTCAAAACATCCCTGTTCTGGATATGTATAATAATTAAGAAAGAAACTCTTCCTTGAAAAAACAAATTACCATCAAATTTTTAGCCTGAGTGGCCAATATTTTGCACTGAGTCTAAACTAAAATAAAGTACAACCTTCTCTTAAAGACACATGTACTAT